TGGAAGAGTGGTATTTTATTAATTTTAATATCAATTTGACAACAATTATAAAAATATTCACATCTTATCTATGCTAATAATTTACTAATCTTTGATAAAGTTGATATTAAAGCTATTATCACTCTTAATAATAGCTTAAATAATTTTACAAAGCTTCAAATTTAAGTGATAATGTCACCAAATCAACTATTTGTTTTGCTAAATCTGATGATTTAGGCTTCAACAAAAGATTTGTGATATTTGTTGTTTTCTTTCAAACCTCTTTCAAGGAACTATTTAGTAGTGGTTATTACATTTTCTAAACCTATTATTGTCAATTGTTAGAAGCTATTAAACAAAATTATATTTTGGTTATCCGGTTAGAAAACTAGATTGCATTCTTTTGTTCATAAATCACAATTCGTAAAACTTTTGTCTCGAGTTACTTGCAATATTGACTCAGATCTATTATTGTTCCTAAATAGATTAGAAAAAAAAAACATTTTTCTTTGTAATAATTTTCTCTATTATAGTGGCAATCACAATAAGCTTCATATTATTGCTTGGATTACTTCTTCTAAACCTAAGAATGTTGGAGGATTATGTATCTCAAATTCAGATTTGATCAATCTTATGTGTGGTGAGGAATTTTTTGTTGTTATGTTGTCGACGTGTCCACCACAGATCTTGAATAATTTCTATTTAAATGATCTACTGCATCATTTGAAGAGTAATAAACCACCTCGAAAGACATAAATATTATAGTAAAATAGGTCTAATCATTCACATGATGAAAATCTTTAAGATTTATGGGGTTGCGTTAATCAAAGATTTTTTCTCCTGTCTTATAGGTGTAAAAAGGGCTTATTTAATTATGGAGTCTATTATCCCTACAAGGGCAATCCCTTCTAATCAATTACATCCCATTAGTTGTGAACTTGTGAGAGAACTCTCAATTAATGTACTGGAATATATCATGAATGATTTCAAAGTTGGTGATTTCAAACGAAAAGATTCAATATTCAAAGAGATTTTTAAATGATGGAGTTTCATGATTTGAAAAGATTTTCTTGGAATTCAAATGTTGAAACTTACAATCCAACAATAATGTGTCGTGGAAAGACCCATGAAGGAGATTAACTAACTTTGGAAAGGTGTACCCTGGATTTGAGATTGAAAATTTATTGGAAGAGTTAGGTTTTGATTTTGAAAAGTTGGATTTAAGAGATTTAAATTCAAGAAGTTTGAGTTGAATTGAAAGATTTGATTTGATTTGAGTTTGACTTGAATTGTTTTGTTTGAAGGATTTGACTTGAAAGATTTGATTTGAAAGGTTGTAAATTGATTGGTTTGATTTAAGAGACTAAGTTTGACTTGAAGGTTGAGTAATTAGGATTTGAAAGTCGGTTTGAAGTTTGAAAAAGTTTGAAAGTTAGTTTGAAGGTTAATTCGAAGGTTGATTTAAAGTTTGATTTGAAGTTTGAAAAGATTTGAATATTAAATTTGAATGGTTAAGAAAATATTTCTAGATGGAAAATAGAAATCCTAACCCTAAATCTTGACTCTATATGAAGGCTAAATAGATGGATTAACCTAAAATTTGGATATGATGCTATCGATCAAGGTGTCTGTAGCCTTCCATAGCCTCAGGTTCATCAGGTACCTTAAACTATCAGCCAATTAAATAAAAGGAGGTTTTCGCCTTTACCATATTGATACAATGCCCAAAAGAAATGCTTTACATGTTTGTCATATTTCTATGTTTAACACTTATGTTTTCATTTGTTTACATTCTTAATTTTTAATATTTCATACTTAAACTATCACATACAAAATATTGAAGATTTAGTTTTCACACAAACATAGTTTGCTTATCATTTAAAGATTGTAAATTTTAAGTTACAAAATCTTAAGGCATGTAAATGATATGTATTAAATGTTAAACATGCAAAATATGAAAATTTACATGGAATGTAAATGATATGTATTAAATGCTACACATAAAAAAGGCATGTTCAAGATGTAAACTTGCCTATTTATTTGCTAAAAATATGAAAGTTGTATGCATTTTATGCAAATTTGCACAACAATCAGTAAGCTTTTGTAATTTGTAAGTTTGCATGAAGATTATAAATTCAAGTGATTTGAATGTGCAAATTCAAATGACTTGAATATATAGAAGCTTAAATGATTTTAAGAGTATAATTTAAAAATAGTTTGAAAATTATTTTTAAGGATTCTTAAAAAAAAAGCAAGTTGGAAAAAACAAGATGAATAATATTAATAATATTAAAAATCCCATTAAGCTTACTTAATTTTATTGAAAGATTTGATCACTTTGAATAATTTTATTTTAATTTTTTATAAAATTTTAAAAAGTTTTAATATTTTTTTTACTAATCTTTGATAAAGTTGATATTAAAGCTATGATCACTTTGAATAATTTTATTTTAATTTTTATAAAATTTTAAAAAGTTTTAGTATTTTGTTAACTTCTTTATAAACTAGATAAAAAATAATTTTTGAAAATTTTAGTGCACTTCTAAATTTATATAAAAGCAATTTTTGAGAACTTTTAGCGCACATTTAAATTTATATAAATTAATATTAAAAGAAATTTTGAAAATTTTGGATCACATATAAAGTTATATAAATATCAAAAGTAATTTAAAAATTTTTAGAGCATATTTAAATATACATAAATTTATATTATAAGTAATTTTGAGGATTTTGAAGCATGTTTAAATTTATATAAACTTATATTAAGAAAAATTTTGAGAACTTTTAGAGGACATAAATTTACATTAAAAGTAATAATGAGAATTTTTAGAGCACATTTAAATTAATATAAGTTTATATTAAAGTAATTTGAAAATTTTGCATAAGCTTACAAACGGTCTGTTTGGAGAAGCTGCAGTTGTTTGGAGAAACAACAATGAAACTGCTAAAGAAGAAGTTACTGTTCAAAAGCTGCGGTTGCTGCTACAAAAAATAAATCTTTTTTAAAAAGTCAGATCACAGTTTTTTAGCAGTCACTGCAGATAGCCAATTGTGGTGGGAACAGATAGCTTCCAGCTGCAAGTTTTCGAAAATACAGGCAAAATTCAATTTTGCCAAACAAGAAAAACAGCGGTGCAACACTGCACCGCCGCCCCAAACACACCCTAAATCAACCTAACTTAACCCATAAACGTACAAAATTTACATGAATCACAATTGAGCATGCAAATTTGCATAAGTTATCACATAAACTTGAAAATTGACATAATTCTCAATGTAAATTCAATTTTTCCTAAATTATGAAATGAACATGCAAATTCATCCGAAACCATAACATAAATAGGTGAGGACCTAAGCATGTGTACCACATAAATAGATAAACATATGAACATATAGACATGTGAATACTTAAGCATGTGAAGACATGAGTACATCAACATGTGAATGCTTAGACTTGTGAATAACATAAGAACATAAACAAACAAAAATATAAACATGTGAAAACATAAATACATCAACATGTGACTACTTAAACATGTGAATAAAATAAATACATGAACATATGGATGCCTAAGAATGTAAATGCATGAATATGTAAACTTGTGAATATTTAGGCATGCGAAAACATAAATATATGAACATATGAATACCTAAGCATGTAAATACATGAACAAGTAAACATTTGAATACTTAGTCATGTGAATAACAAAAGTACATGAACATATAAATACCTAAGCATGTAAATACATGAATATGTAAACATGTGAATACTTAGGTGTATAAATAACATAAATAAATGTAAATATCTTTAGTTTAATGAATTAATATAAGTAGTAAACCAATTGAGTTTGGGTTTTGGCTATGGGAAAAGAGGGAAAGAAAGTGAAGTATGTGTTTGAGTTCTCAGATATGGAAGAAATGGTGAGGGTTAGGGTTTTCGACCATGCGAAGAAAGCTGAAGAAGTATGAGGGTTTGGGTTTTTGGTAATTGGAAAGGACAGAAGAAGAAGTGGTGATGGTTAGAGTTTTGCCATGGGAAAAGGGAGAAGAAGTTGTGAGGCTTGGTGTTTTCAGCCTTGGGAAAAAGAGATACGTGAAGTGGGTGAGGGTTACAGTTTTCGGTCATGGGAAGAAAGAGAAGTATGGGTGTATGTGTGTTTAGGCCATGGGAAAATGAGATGATGAATGTGTATGTGGTTATGTGGTTTGACAATGGGAAAAGAGAGAATGAATGTGTATGTCTGATTGTGTGTGTCTCCGCCTAGGGAAAAGAGGGAAGAAAGAAGTGTGTGTATGTGTGTTTCAGCCGAAATCAAAGGGGTTACCACTTCATTCAATAAAGGGAATCAAAGAAATTCTTTTTCACTTAAGCAAAGTATTCTCTTTTCTATTTGTTTTGTCCTTCATGTAAATTGCTATACATAGAATTGTTTACAAATGTGGTCATTTTCCTCCCCGCTTGCCTTTTTTTTTAGGATGAAATCCTCCATCTACTTTCCTCTACTCTTCCTTTTTTTTTTCGTGGTAAAAAACTCTAAGCCTTTGCACTTCCTCTCTCTCTTCTCCCCATGGCCGAAAATACTAACCCTTACTACCATCATAGTTTAGTAGATCTACGTCCCAATAGTCTGGGAGGACGAGTCCATGGAGGCCCAACCAGAGAATATCTATATATCCAGGTTCTTTGAGTCACCTGTTGATCTACTCCTTTAAGCCCCAACCAGGATACATGTTTTATTTCATGTCTAAACATAAACAAAATAAAACAAAAAATAAAAAATAAAAACAAAAAATGATCCCAAACAGCCCCTCCGATACTAGGTATAACTTCTACTTAATTGAATATAATAAAGAGAAATTTAAACGTAGGTCCCATGATTCCACATTATTTTCTAATCCATTGATTGAAAATAAAAATAAGGAAGACCTAACTATAAATCAAATTATTATTATTTCGAATGTGATAATAAAAATATTGAATATAACTACTAATATTTGAATATCATTATTAAACTAGCCGACCTGAATGATTACAGTATATCTGCATTGCTGTAGATTTTGAGGATATTACATTCCATGGGTGGTATAATTTCTCCACTATCAAAATAATATGATTAAAAGCTGACTAATGTGTTCATCTTAACTGAGGGTAACAGTCTTGAACATAATGAAGAAAACCTATAAGCATAACCTAAATATGCTTATTGACTCAAATATTAAAAAATATACATTAAAAAAAAATTCTGAATTCTTAAAACTTGAGCTTTTCACCTTGGTATGATGAGTTGGATTTTCCAATTATAATTTTCCTTTTACTGAAGAATTCCTGGTTTGGCTTCTGGACTTGGAATGGCATCCACATTTCATTTTTTTTCTCTCTATGTTTCTTCTGACTGCCAATAAAATTATTTTAACAAACTTTAAATGAAGTGCAGAAGAAAATGTAGAATAAATTGATCAACATTTCACATGTAGATGATTTCATACCTTACATGAAGGAAAAAGACAAAAGAACCAACCATTGTCATCACCCTTGCAACTGACTTGAGAACATGGTTTCCTGTCTTTCCAACAGTGCCTTCTGTGTCTATGCCTTTACCGCATTCCTCTGTCATAATGATATCCTTCCAAATAATTGCATTGTCCTAGTTAAACACCAATTAACATCATAATAAGTATTTAAATCAAGTAAAAAATATATAAATATATAACTTTTATCGGTGAACAATTCTGTCGAAATCAACTTTGTAATGTGTGAATCTAATTTTTAATATTACTGTTATATCATCCTAATTATTATAAAACATGTCAATTGATTAAGTGTCAAAAAAATATTCTGTAAATTATTTTTTACAAAAAACCATATGAAAATGTGATTCCTCAAAGCCCCACGCATGGCCCAGCTTTATTGTTAAAACTACATAGACAAGTAAAGAGCAGAAGAGAAAGACTGCACTGATGTCCTGTATCAATGAAGAAGTCAAGGTACATGATCTATAAGCTAGTAAATAAGCTAAGGGAATGTAATGTAAGAAATAAAGTGTAGAATATTAGTCATTTAATGCATGGAATCAATCACTTAGAAATGAAAATAAAAAATTAGCAAATAATGCAAAAATAGTGAAGGACATAAGGGTTAACTAAACAGCAATTTCAGCTGTCCAATTGATAAAAAAAATTTTAGGAACCGCCCTCTCATTGCCATATAAAGCTTGGTTTGATTGCTCCAATGAGCCTAACTTTTTAAATATTATTGATTAATTGAAACTAATTTTTGGATTTAATTAGCAATTAATTCTGTCCAATTTATTATCATTAAGCAATCATTTCCAAAAGGAATAAGGTGGTTGAAGAGATCCCGAATTTCCACACTCCCGTTCGAGCTAAAAGTAAATATTGATCATTCATAGCTTGGAAATGTGTAATTTAAATCGAACTTCATTGAGGGATTTAATGAGAATATTTATTGTCTAAGATTTTTTTTAGGATAGGTAACCTTACAGATGTCTTGTGCAATTCTCTCCTTACCTCAATAGGCTTAGTTCTACAATGGCGGACAAAAACTTTAGTAATATATAGTGTAGCCATGTTATCATAGATCATTACCATTAGTTCTTTAACATGAAGCTTTAGCTCTTTCAAAAATAATTTGAGCCACGTCTTCATAAACTGCACCAGCCCTAACTATGAATTCAGCCTCAAAGTTATTTTAAACATTTTTTTTATTGTCTACTTCTCCAAGTGACAAAATTTCCCTATAAAATTTAGTAGCCAAAAGTAGATTTGAAATCAAATATAGAACTTGCACAGTGAGCAATAATGAAGGCTTTCGGTCGTCCAATCCTCAACACATTCAAGACAGTCATTTCAATATACCATATTGCTATCAAATTTCGATTAGATATAGAGGTGATCACTATCTGATGAGACTTGGAGCAGGCACCTATCTATTACCTACGGGCAGTAGGCAGTATGCAGAGGGAAATATTACAACTGGAGATGCAGCAAAGAAGTGGACCGGAAACAAATGAAGTCTACAAGTGTCCCTACCACTCAAGAGGAGTTAGCTAAAAGATTTCAACTATGCACTATTTTTTATGCAGGATCTAGAGAATGATTGATCCTTATTCTCCGTGAATACAACAACGTGATCACCTGGTCAGTAGAGGAGATATGCTAGGAGTCAATGTTAATGTCACCAGTCATAGGTTGAACATCGATCCCAGAGTTAAGCTAGTGAAGCTGAAGTTTCGGCCAGTCACCGTTACTCTAGCAGAACCTACTCACCAAGAAAATATAGAAGCTATTAGACACTGACTACATCAAGGAGGCTCAATATAGAAACTGGGTTGCAAACGTAGTGATGGTGCCAAACTCAAATGGAAAATTCCAGACGTGTTTTGTTTTAACTAACCTAAACTCAATCAGTCCCAAGGATGGTTATCCACTACTATAGATTGAGGCACTCATTGACTTTGCAATTGGCTACTCAGTCATGAATTTTCTGAGTGCTTACCCTGATTATCATCGAATCACGATGCATCTACTGAGAAGACTGCATTTATCACTAATGACTGAATTTATTGTTATATTGCAATATCCTTTGGGATTAAGAATGTTGGTGCTACTTATTGGCATACAATGGATGTGATTTTCAATAGGCAAAAAGAAAAAAAAATATTGGAGACTGTCAATAATGTCTTGGTTAAAAGTGAATCACTAATACAACATCTACAATTGGCGACAAACCATCCCCATCAATATCACACAGTAGGCCCGAAGCATTCCACCACTTCAACCAACCAACTTGAATTCTACTATTAATATCCCCATCAATATCACCATCATTTTGAACAATAGACACGAAATATCTAAAGCATTCACACTTTTTAATAATTTGATCACCCATAGTTATATTTCTGTCACTAGAGCTAGTACTATTAAATATACATTCATGTATTCAGTTTTAGTTCTACTCAAACGAAGGCCTTTAGACTCCACGATAGACCTCCAAAGTTCAAGTTTTTCCTAAGCTTTTTCTCTCGTCTTATCCACGGGAAGGATATCATCAGCAAAAAGCATACACCACGGTACATCTTCTTGTAAGTATCCAATAAGACCATCCATAACTAAAGCAAAAAGATATGGGCTTAAAGCCGATCCCTGGTGTAAACCAACAGTAATGGAAAAATATTTGGTCAATCCTCCTCCTGTTCGAGCATAAGTAACAACTCTTATATATTTATCTTTAATGACTTGAATATAAGTCATATCAACACCTTTCTTCTTAAGAACTCTCTAAGGGATATCTCTTGAAACCTTATACCTTATAGTAAGCTTTTTCTAAATCAATAAAAATCATATGTAGATCCTCCTGATCATTAAAATCATATGTAGATCCTCTTTATTATCTCTGTACTTCTCTACCAAACCTCTAAATAAATGTATAGCTTCCATAGTAGACCTGCCCATCCTGCCCATGATAAATCCAAATTGATTATGAGAAATCTTTGTAATACGTGTTATCCTATGTTCTACTACCCTCTCCCATAATTTTAAAGTATGACACGTCAACTTAATTCTCTATAATTTGCAGACTCTTTTGCATCTCTTTTATTCTTAAAAATGAGGACCAAAATATTTCCTTCGCTCCTCAGGCATCTTTTTAGTTTTTAAAATAATACTAATGAGTTTAATAAGTCAAGAAACTCTCAAATCTCTTAAATATTTCCACACTTCAATTGAGATATTATCAGGTCCTACAGACTTTCCACCCTTCACTTTCTTTAAAGCCTCCTCCACTTCTTTTTTACTAATGTGACGATAAAAATGAAATATTTTATTATTATTAACGATATTAAGATCACTAAGGTCGATAGTATTTTCCAAAACTTCATTAAAAAGTTTATCAAAATAATTCACCTACCTATTTAGAATATCTTTTTCTAAGAAAAATATATATATATTTTATTTTTATCTTTAATACACTTTACTTGAGTTAAATCTTTACTTTTCTTTTCTCTTTATTTGGCTAGTTTATACATATAATTTTAAACCTCATTAGTATCTAATCTATTATAAAGATCACTAAAAACAAAATTTTTAGCGTCACAGATTGTTCTCTTAGACTCCCTACAAGCCGTTTGATAACTTTCCAAGTTCTCTATGCTTTTACATTTAAACCAATTTTTATAACACAACCTCTTATATTTTATATTTTCTTGCACATTCTTATTCCACCACCAACTATTTTTATTTATAGAAACTTTTTCTTTTGATTTTCCAAGTACAACTTTTGCAACTTGTTTAATAGTGTTTGTTACTTTATCTCATAGAATTTACTTCTTTATGAGCATCCTAAAATTTGAAATCATAAATTTTACTCAGAAAAATAATTTTATTTGTATCTTTCAGGTACCCACATCTAATTCTACGACGATGACTTCTAGTATTCTTTATTTTACAACTTTTCATCTTAAAATCTATAACTAATCATCGATGTTGAGTACTTAAATCCTCATTTGGAATGACCATACAATCTTTACATTCTCGATAATCTCTTCTTTTCATAAAAAAATAATCAAGTTGTGTTTTATTAGATCCATTATTATAAGTAATAATATGCTCATCTTTTTTCTTGAATAAAATATTAGCAATAACAAAATCATATGCTAAAGCAAAATCTAATATAACTCTACATTCTTTATTAATCACTCCAAAACCGTAACCACCATGAATATTTCTAAAATCTTATACCACTCTATCGACATGTCAATTTAAATCTCCTCCAATAAAAATTCATTCTTAAAGAGGTATCAGTTATATTAAGTCTTCTAAGTCATTCCGGAATTTATCTTTAGAACCTATATCCAAACCTACTTGAGGAGCATAAACAATTATAATATTAAAAATCTTAGTATCAACAATAATCTTAATAGTTATAATTCTATCTCCAACTCTATTAATTTTTACAACATTATCTTTCAAACTCTTATCTATAATTACACCTACATCATTTCTACTGCGACTTGTACTTGAATAATAAAGTTTAAAACCAAGTTATCAATCTTCTTAGCCTTTTCTCCAACCCATTTAGTTTCTGGAACTCATAAAATATTTATCTTTCTATGAATTATAATATCAACTAATTCCATTAATTTACTAGTGAAAGTACCTATATTCTAAGATTCTATCCTAATAATAGTTTCATGGACTAATTTCTTTACATGCATCCGTCCGTAATGTGGGAACCTTTGAGCGTCGGTGTAGCGACCCTTACACACTTTTCACTGTATTCAGACCAGACAGTGTGTCGCTTCCAGGGGACGCCCTAACACTTACACAATGATAAAAAAGATTCATGTCATGATTTTTTCGACAAGAAATACACTAGTTGTCAACTGCCTAACATAACCCTCCACTTTTCACATCCGGACTTGGGACCGACAATGATAGTGTTATAAAAATTGACTTCGATATCACTAATAATCAAGTTGAGTATGAGACCCTCATTATAGCATGAAAATTCAGCCAATGAATAGGGATAAAGCATGTGCAGGCATACTCTAACTCACAATTGACAGTTAACTAGGTAAACAATCAACATGAAGTTATAGAATAAATGATGGAAAAGTACCTCCGAAAAGTTAAGACAAATGTCGAGAAGTTTGAATTCTTCAAAAATGGATATATCCTAAGAGATGAGAACCAAGTTATTGATTTCATGTCTAAGTGTCACTATCCTCTAAGCCTACGACTCGAGTCTGCATGTAATCAGCAAATGACGACGGCTCAGTGTAACAGCTACTCGATTATGGCTTTCCGCCTTGTGCTTATGCATGAACTGTAACGCTGTCAAGAACTCCACCCAAGACGCATTTCGCCCTTAAGTTTGTTCCAACTATTAAAGAACTTTAAAGCCTCATGATTTGTAATTAAGGTGAACTTGCTTGTCATTAAGTAGTGACTCCAGTAATTAAGGGCTCTCATGATTATATATAACTCTTTGTCGTACGTCGAATATTTTCTCCTACACTCATTTAACTTCTCATTGAAGAATGTTATGGGGTGGCCTCCCTGGCTTTGTACTGCTCTATTTCCCACATTGGAGGCATCACACTCCACCTCGAACAAAGTGATTTAAGTCTGGTAATGTCAATACTGGTGTCTGGGTCACCTTCCTCTTCAATGTATCGAAACTAGACTGAGCTGTATTCGACCCTGAAACTCCTTTTTCAAAAGTTCTGTCAGGGGAGCTATGATGGTGCTAAAGGTCCTAATGAATCGCCTATAAAATGTTGTTGGCTCTAAAAACTATATCGATTCAATAAAAGATTGTGGGGTCCTCCAGCTCATGATGCCCACAATCTTTGCACAATCCATTTGAATGTCTGCACTAGACAAAATATAGCCCAAAAAGCATTTATGTGATGTCAAAAAGTGGCACTTCTTTGGGTGGATGTATAGTTACCTCAAAGACCATCCTCGGGTGATGTAAATGCTCCTCCTCGGATCTATTGTATACCAAAATATCATTGAAGTACATCACCACGAACTTCCTGATGTGAGCCTGAAACACTCAATTCATCAATCTAATGAACATGTTAGGTGCATTAGACAATCCAAAATGCATTATTGTCCACTCGTATATTCCATCCTCGGTCTTGAAAGAACACTTCCACTCATCCCCAGGTCTCATACAAATTTGGTAATATCTATTGCATCCGTCGATCTTGGAAAAGACAATGACTCCATTCCACTGATCCAAGGGGCCATCTAAGCAATGTATGGGGAACTTATATTTTATAGTAGTTTTGTTGTTAGCCCAGCTATCAATGCACATCATTTACGATCCATCCTTCTTAGGTACCATTAAAGTGGGGACATCACGGGCCGATACTCTCTCTAACAAACCTCTCACAACAAGTTCCTATATCCATCATTGAAATTTCTCGTACTATGTAGGTCTCAGCATGTATGCAGGCTTGTTTGGCAACACAGATTCGGGGATGAGATCTATGGCACACTAAATGTCCCTCAATGGTGGCAAACCCTCTAGAAGGCAGTCAGTCATCACATCCTAAAAGTTACATGGCAATGGCTTTATGGTTTCAGATATCTCAACCTCCTCCTCAGTTCCCTCTAACATTATTAAAGCCATTACCACTGCAACCTCTTATATTGACTGCATAAAGGTGGCTTCTGGGACTACCATCTCCTTTGTGATATCTACTCTTGCGTCTCAGATAGGCAAATGAACTATGTGCCTTCCATCATTCTTGAATGAATAAGAATTCTTGAATTCATTGTGATGGGCCTTACAGTCAAACTGCCACAACCTTTCCCAATAATATATGACAAGCATCTATAGGTACGACATCGAACCGCACTTGTTCTTGTAGTTGATCTTTAATGAAAAACTCAACCAAACATTGTTGATCCACGTGTATCACATTTTCCCCTTTCAACCAGCTAAGGAAGTAGGATTGATAATGCTTTCGTGTAGCCAGCACCGACTTCTTCACCATTAGAGTGAATACTACATTCTCATAGCTCTCACATTCCATAATCAAGCTGCAGACAGTTCCTTTTACGGTAAACTTGGTGCAAAAAATTCTATGCCTTAGCCAATGCTTTCGTGTAGCCAGCACCGACTTCTTCACCATTAGAGTGAATACTACATTCTCATAGCTCTCACATTCCATAATCAAGCTGCAGACAGTTCCTTTTACGGTAAACTTGGTGCAAAAAATTCTATGCCTTAGCCACGAATGATCATTCTCTGGCACAATCTGTGAGACCCTCCTTATGACTAGATTTTCTCCCTCATTTCCCTGGAGTTGAAGTTCCTCGCCCTAGTCCTCCTCTGCTTCCTCCTTACTTCCTTGAAGGAAACTTTCTCAATGAATGAAATAACTCAGCTCATAGAGCAGTTGGAGTTTATATGTATGTAGCCATGGCACTTGAAGCATCTTTTGGTAGGCACTATACTGGGCGAATTGCTCTTTTTGAGTTTCTTTCCACTTAGATCTATCTCAACACTTCCCTGTCCGGTCTTCCCAACTCTTCCAGATGTACCCTTGTTCGTAGCTGCAGCTGTAGGTGGTAGTATGACTGAGGGCCATTAGATTTTGCAAATAATTATATTCTTAAGCCATTTAAAAGGACTCCATAAGAATTTCCCTTTCACGGAGACTAAGGGGAGATTGGTTGTAGTGTCACAGATAACCTTAAATTGTCGTCCCACCCCTGATATTTCATAATCCATCCTCACCTTATTTCCAATGTTCACACATGTAGCACCACGCTCTGCCACCATTTGCACCTGCCTGATAACTTCCTTGTAGCCTTCAGCCTCCAAGGTGGACTCTTTCTCAACTTGTGCGCATTCCAAGAGTAAATTGCTTCCACCTCCATGATAGTTCCCCAGCTCCATGCTTATCAATGTGCCCACGATAGCCACCTTGCCCATCTGCACAATCTACTCCACCACTAGCATGACTAATAGATTTAGAATTATTATATATAACATAAATTGCATGCAAAGTGCAGCTACCATTGCAATTTGCACGGGCCCTCAACCTCCATAGCCGCCTCCCCATGTATCCGCCGAGCAGTGCCTTCACAAGAGCTTTCATCTTGCCCAACTTTGCCATTACCCGTGCCATCGGCTTTTACCTTCTTAGGCTGACCACCAACCACAACCGCCTCCTTGCAGCCACCGTCCACCTCCATCTCATCACAGGGTCTCTTAGAACCACCCCACTCTCCCAAGGGTGAGGCAATGATTGGTGGCCAATCCCCTGTTCCCTATCAGACCTTTCTCTAAAAAATGCTTATTGGTGAAGAACTCATCAGGATTTTATTTAGACCAAATAAAAAGTCAATTATCCTATCTTAGTCAACTGCTTGTCAATACTTAGTTACATCCTTCAAACACTACAAATCTAGTACTTCTGGGACATTCAATTGCTACCAATGCCAACTAGAAGTATTATAATATTTAGTAAAAAAGAAATCATTTTATCGAATATCATAAAGGGTCCCTTTGTTCTGTAGTAACTCAATAGTATTTTGTTGTCCTTTTTTTTTCTTCATTACAGCCTAGATGGTGTTAATGCTTGGTCAATTTCATTTTTCATGGTGTTAATGAGCCCAATGCATAACTATCTATTTTTAAATCGCCATGATTTTAAATTTAGATCTTCCTTGTAAGAAGGAATGTCGACACAAGTTAGATATATTCGTCTTTCTTGTTTATGAACATCATAATTGATTAAACTCATTAGCCGTAGTTATACCCATTTAACTTGTGGCTAAAGGGTGATGGATTAGAGAAACTTTAATGACTCCCAATATGGTAATTAATGATTATTCATGGCAAGAAGTGGCATTAGAGGAGAAACTTTTAGTAGAAACCATTCTGTATTCAACTATAATCATGGTTAACACAGAGGATCAAGAACTTAAAAGAGAATTTATAAGCATATAGGGAGAGCTTAAGGGGGTCTACCAAGGGCCATATAAGGTCGAAACTGTAAGTACAAATGTTGGATACTAAATGCCATATATGGTAGAAACCAAGTACAAAATATTTGGTATTAAATGCATAGGTACAATCACCTCCACATGGAAATACATAGCAAGCAAAATAATGCAAAACAGAGAAGAAAATAAGTAACTGGGAGGTAATTCCAGCTTGCTAATTTAAGAAAAAATCTACAAAAACTGTCCCCCATAATATCCATACAAAGCTAGGTTTAATTGCTCCTATTTGGGCCTGATTTCTGGAATTAATTGTAAATTAATTTAAGCTGATTTGGTTAGTTGATTGGTGATTAATTTCTTCCAGTTATCACCATCTAGCAATCCTTCCAAATACGGATGAAGCGGTGGAAGTGAACCCTAACGTTCCCATTTATGTCAAGACATAGTTAACTCTTCTAGAAAGTTAACAGATTGACACATGAATACAATGAATAGATAATAATGATAGATCAAAAATTTTAAAGGCTAAGGTTTTATGTTAGGAAATTTATAACAATAAAATTCTACAAAAAGGGCTTCATGCAGACAAACTCAAACAACAAAAAAATTGTCATAATTCAGGGGAAAGCACCAAATAATTTACCAGTATAGCTTGTGGCACATCACTGGGCACAGCACAATCATCATGAATGGAGTACGCAGCATGTTTTTCCGTTTCCATACTTTCAGCTGAAGCAACTTCTCTCTCTCTGCTGTCCAAACTTGAGCTGGGAAGTATATCAACTATTTGGAAGGTTTCACCTTCAGTTTCCAAACTATTTCCACGAATTCGAAATAAATCCGAGCAACATAAATCTACCACTGAGCCACAAATAAAGCCATAATCTTTGGCTTCTGTATAATTTAATGAATTTCCATGATTTTCAATGGGTTCAAATGCGTGTTTGATCATTTTATTTTTGCTCAAAGAATCAAACTTATGAAAATTGTAATGCGGGCATGGATCCTCAGACCAGCTTCCTTTCACAGCCATTTGAGCATTCTCATGAGTTAGACAAGATTGACAAGAAGCAGCATTATCTATATTTGATCCCACTTCAGTTCCAATGTTTATTCTGTAACTAGCATTGTTGCATAATTTTTCTTTTTCCAATGAAAGCCTACATGCTGCAATATCAACATCTTCATGTACAACAGGCACCAAATTATTTATAAAATCCTCATTCAAGTCCATGATAGAGTTGGCTTTGTTGACATCATTCTCCTGCATACAATTGCCAGTAACCAAATAACTTCCATCTTCAATATATACGTCTTTGTACGTCAAGCATATGCTAGAGGAAGAAGAGCATTCAAATTTGCTTTCAATTAACGAGGAAATTGAGGGATTGGTGCTCTGGCTGCCACACTTTCTTATTGCCAGATGATTTGGATCATCAGACTGACAAAGAAGTGCAGAATCGTTTGCTACAGAACTTAAACAAGTATGAACAGGTTCATATTGGTCTCTCTCGGATGGATGGCCAACTAAGCTTGGTGAAAAATTGTTTTGCATTCCCGAACATGAGGAAAAAAATGAGCATGCTTTTCTGCTTACTATAATACTCTCTGATCCTTCAAGTTCAGTGTTACAAGCATGATTATCAAGTGAATTAAGATCAAGTATTGAAGGTGATTTGATTTGACTAGGAAGGATTTCATCATTTCCAACTGCCTCGGCATCTAATGAATAGTTTATGGGTATAACTAAGTCACTGTTATCTGATGTCTCCATGTAATAAAAACTATTCGTCATAGCCTTATTGTTGCTTATAATAAATTTTTTAACAGCAAAATTTTCTTGTCTAGAGTGGCATGGTTCAACTTCTACAGATCCATGAACCTCATGATGTGAGAGAGTAGAAGAAAAAGATGATTGAGAATGCTGATAATCTTCTAAGGCTTTATAAGAGGTTTTGACACCTGAAGTGCCCGCCAAACTATCCGCTTTAAGCCCATTTTTAACATGTGGAATTGAACCAGCAATCCCCTTGCAAACTTCAGAGAAAAAAGTACTTGTATCTTGATCAGTTGGGTGCTCAGAATATGAAGATGACATGTTTTGAAGCGTGATAGGCTCTGCTTTGCTTAAATGAACAAAATCATCAGAAATAGGGGATAATTCAGGGGAGACTTCTCCAACTATGCAGGCAATATTGGTGACATCAGATGAAGCACTCGAAAATGGACTCTCAAACTCAAGTTCACTAAAATTGCTCTCAGATTCATCAGACCTTGAATCAGAATATTGGGAATGCTGTCCAAAATAATTTTACATGGATAGGAATAATACAATTAAAAAGCATTTCCAATCGTACATGGAAATTTACAGTGCAAAACAGTTGATTTCTAGATGAAAAAACTATTTTAAAATAAATGTACTAAACTTACCGGTCCAGAAATTTCTTTTGCATACCGTAAAAGCTCCAAATTTCTGCAAATACTACCTACCAAACGAGTGGGCATGGCAATGTTATATGTTACAAAGTCAAAATCTGGAACCTGTAGAGCAAAAATTATGCAGTATGAGACATTTGGGTAAACATGTTAGCTGGTACTAAGCTAGAAGTGCGAAACAATAAAAAGCAAATTTGAAATGCATCCTGCAGCTCTTACATTCAATTTCTTAGACCTGGCTTTCTTAGAGAGAGATCGGATACACATGCAAACTCTGCGAATGTCTCGCTTCTCAACAACATCTGATGGAGAAAACAAATCAATGCCATTTAAACCAAGGATTTGACATATCTGTCAAGAAAATAAAAATTGATATAAATGACTGCAGTTAGAATGTAATAACAGAAATTAAATAATAATAATAACAATAAACCAAAGAATCCCTTTAGTTATAACATAACAGTCGCAACTCTCATTCGATCAAATCGAAACATAACGAGCGAAGAAGAGGAAAGGAAGCCGCATAAGAGAAGAAAAAGGGAAGAACTACGGCTACTGAGCAGCGTCGTGCCCAACGCAAGGAAGGAGGAGAAATCAAAGGGAAGAAGTAGGAAAGTGGTCAAGCGGAATATAAGACTTACCTGGACTGAGCCGCGATTGAGGAGGAGGAGACGTTGACGTTGTGTGCTCACGCAGAGGAAGGAAGAAGAAGAAGAAGAAGTCGAAGTAGGAAGGAGAGGTGTCGAGGGATTACATGGTTTGAGCTGCGACCTTTGATGTCAAGCCCTGCTTACAAAGGAAGCAGATGAGGACGTCGATCACTTGTCATACGGGTTCGTGTGCAAAGGAAGCCACGATCAAGATGAGTAAGGACTACAAGGTTGTTGATCGTGTGAAGGAATCATCGCGGGTCGAGTCGCGACCGAAGGAGAAGAAGAAGGGAGCAAACAATTTATTACTAGCTTGTGATGTTGTTTTTGGATGTTAATGTTTCCTGATGCTTTAGATTTTATTGTAATTTAGGGTTTAGGGTTTAGGGTTTAGGGTTCATAGATTAGTGGCTCTTTTAAATGTATTGAAAATTTTAAAAATGTTGATAGTTAGATGTTAATACCATCTGACCGCTATATCCGCCTTAGTTGATTCTAAGCAATGGGTCGGGTCATAACAAAAATGATATCAGAGTGATTAGGTTTGATCATGATCTGAAAGAACCATTAGGATGATTACTTTAATTTCATAAGTAATATTGATAGAGAAGTAAATTGTATATAATTACAATATTTCTTATGCTATTTCAAACATATAAAAAAACAAAGGGACGAAGCTAGAGATAATACTGTAGAAGTTAATGCACCCCTGTAGATTACAATGAATACTGACGCATTTACTGAGATGATAACTGTAGTAACGCAGTTGATTAAAAACTCTCAGACTCATGTCAGTTCCAATGTAGGCGGTCCGATGGATATATATCTGAAATTATTTCACGATATGACCTTTCTTTTCTAGAGGAGGAGGTTCGTTAGATGCTAAAAACTAGTTGTTGAAAGTGGAGAAGATCCTAAATGGATTGTCTTGTCCTCCTGAGAAGATGGTTACAATGGCACATTTGCATTAGAGGGAGAAGCAAAGAGATGGTAGTGTGGATAGCTACAAGAGAAATTTGAGGGTAGAGCCAGTCACATGATTAAGTGGGGTGAGTTCGGTCCATATCACGATTCGCCAGGAGGCAAATGCATAACAAGTTTATTTGATTGATAAAGGTTCATCGATCCATTCTGCGGTATGAAGCTGAATTCACCATGCTCTCAAGGTATGCGCCTCAGTTGAATCCTAATGCAGAGGCGAAGTGCCACTGATTTTTGTCTTGACTTAGAGATGGGATTAGACAGCCATTGATTCCTCTTGGAATCGATGGTTATTCTGTTCTGGTAGAGAGAGCTAGAAGGATTGAGCTGGATCTAGAGACTATTCAGAGGAGTAGGGACATTCAGAAGAGAAAAAATCAAATGGATCAGATTTTCTCAAAGCTCTCAGAGGCAGTCCTTTTAGTCAATTGGTACAAGTGATAAGAAGGCTAAATCCAGCAGCATTGACACTCAGTTTGAAGCAAAGGAATGTGACAAATGTGGAAGGTTTCATAAGGGTGAGTTTTATTTGGATTTAACACTTGCTTTCGGTGTCCCCAATCAGACATATGGCGAAGAATTGTCCTAAATTGGGTTAGAGAGCTCCGGTTGATTCTAGAGGCAATGTTACACCACCTCAGAGGACTTATGGTAGACCGAGGGCAGCTGAATCTTCAGGGTCAGTGCCAAATGCAGGTCAAACTCAATAGAATGTTCAGCCGAGAATATATGCTATTTCGCAGCAGGAAACGAAGGACTCCCTGATGTTATCATAGGTATGTTTTACTATTAATAATTTCAAATCACTACACTTCAAGCAACATAAAATTCATGTCACTTCATACATAAAATAAGCAAGAATTTAAATATTAATAAGATGACTCTAAATGTTTAATGTGATATCATATATCTTCATAGTAGACCAGTAAGAGTATTATTTGATTCAAGAGCATCACACTCATTTACAACTAATGAATCAGCTAAAATGATGTGATTGAATATCATTTCGATGTTTGTAATACTATCAGTTAGAATGTCAAACAACGCTTTTTTAAAAGTTGATTAATCATGTGAGGTGGAGCTTATGATTGGTGAAAAAGGTTTTAATGCCCAACTTATTGTGTTGCCTTTGGTGGAATTTGAGGTGATTTTAGGCATGGATTGAATGTTTGAAAACTTTATCACTAGTGATTGCAATAAGAAAACCGTCAAAATACATATACCTGGGGAGACGTCAAATTTTCTGGTGACAGAGGACTAACATTTATGATAAATTCTTTCATGAAAGCTTTTAAATTGTTGAATCATGGAAATTAGGGTTTTCATGCTCAGGCAGCGGTACTTCTAAGGAATTAAAGGCTTTGGGTGATATTCCAGTGGTAAGAGAATATCTAGAGGTATTCCTTGATGATTTATCAGGGCTACCACCAATGTGGGAGATTGATTCAGTATTGAGCTCTTCTCAGGTTCTGAGCTTGTATCCAAGGCACTTTACAGAATGGCCGCTAAGGAGTTGTAGGAGCTGAAGAGCTAATTGCATGAGTTACTTGATAAAGGGTTTATCAAACCTATCACCTCACATTGGGGAGCTCCAGTGTTATTTGTGAAGAAGAAGGATGTGAGCTTTAGGATGTGCATTAACTACAGAGTGCTGAATACAGTCACAGTTAAAAATAAGTATCCACTGTCAAGAATTGACGACTTGTTTGATCAGTTGGAAGAGGCTTTCATATTTTCAAAGATTGATCTGAAATCAGGCAATCACCAATTGAAGATTAAAGAAGACATAACAAAAACTGTTTTCAATAACCAGATATGGGCATTATGAATTTGTGCTGATATCATTTGAGTAGACAAATGCTCCTGCAGTTTTCATGTATTTGATGAATAGGTCTTCAGGCAGTTTTTGGACACTTTTGTGATCATCTTTATAGAGGATATTCTGGTGCGTTTGAGGGATGAAGTCAGTCATGTAGATCATTTACATGTTGTGCTAAAAGTTTAGAAGAAAAATACACTTTGTGCCAAATTTTCTAAATGTGAATTTTAACTTAGAAGTGTGGCTTTTCTTGGGCATGGCATATCTGTGGATCAGACCAACGAGAAGGCGGATATAGATTGGTGAAGGCCTACTATTGTTACCGAGGTCGGGAATCTTCTAGGTTTGGTTGGTTATTATAGAAGGTTTGTTGAAAGATTTTCACAAATTGCTATGCCACAATCAAGGTTGACTCAAAAGACAGTAAAGTATGATTGGTCAGATCATTGTGAGGAGACTTTCAGAAGCCAAAAACTTGTTTAATGTCTGCCCTAGTATTAGTCATTCCTTCGGGTTCTGATGGATTTCAGATTTTCAGCGATGCATCTTTGAGGGGTCTGAGTTGTGTATTGATGCAACATGGTAGGATCATTGCATATGTATCACAACAATTGAAGAATCATGAAAGAAACTATCCCACGCATGACAGAGCTTGCTGCAGTTGTATTTGCACTCAAGATATAAAGACATTATCTGTATAGTGTCAAATGTGAAGTTTTTAGTGACCACCAAAATTTGAAATATATCTTCACTTAGAAAGAGCTGAACTTGAGGCAGAGAAGATGGTTGGAATTTATTAAAGATTATGATTTAGATATTCAGTATCATCCATGAAAGACGAATGTTGCTGCTGATGTGCTGAGTAGGAAAGCTTGAGGCATTAAACTATTTATTTACTCTGTAGGAGCAGTTAATTAAAGATCTAGAGATATTGAAGATATCTATAGTTGTTTATAGTGATGACAACATAGTTCAACCATATCAGTTGATGGTACAACCAACTTTAAAGGGTAGAGTTTGAGATTCTTTAGCCAGAGATAGTAGTATTCAGAAAATTCTAGAGTAGACTAAGACATGTAGTTTAGAGAAGTATGAGCTGGATCAGGATGATTTATTGATGTATAAGGCAAAGTTTATGTTCTAGATGTTGATAACCTGAGGAAGAAAATTTTGGAGGAAACACATTTATCTAGTTATATTATTTACCCAGGGAGCAATAAAATATATCAGGATATCAAAGAAGCATTTTGGTGGCCAGGATTGAAGAGAAATGTTGTATAATTTGAGGCTAAGTGTCCTTCTTGTCAACTAATAAAGGCATAGCATCAACGTCCTGGAGGTCAGTTGCAGGCTTGCAGCCTTTACTGATTCCATAGTGGAAATGGAGGAGATTGCGATGAATTTTGTGATTGGTTTTCCTAGAGCACGTCAGAGTCATGATGTTATCTATTAATTGTTGATAGACTGACCAAATCTACACATTTATTGTCTATTAGACAAACAGATCTAAACACTGTCGTTGCCGGTCCCAAGCCCGGATGCGAAAAGTGGAGGGTTGCATTAGGTAGTCGACAGCCAGCGTAAAACTTGTTGAAAAAATCATGACATGAATCCTTTTGATCATTGTGTAAGTGCTAGGGCGTCCCCTGGAAGCGACGCGCTGTATAGCCTGAATACAGTGAAAAGTGTGCAAGGGCCGCTACACCGGCGCCCGGGTGTAGTGTTAAATAAGC